TAGCTCGAAATTGTAGCTGACGTTAGCTGGCGTACGGTTCTATCAACATTGAGGTATACCTGAACCGCGCAACTCATGTTAGATTGCGCTTACTTTCAGGCTTTGAAAAATGTGGAGTCTCTTATAAAATTGCTCATTCACAAACAACATTCCCTTCAAAAATTTACATGCCATAACTAACTTCCTTACCTCTTCTTCGATTTTGTTTTCTCCTACGAGATCCATCAAAACTCTGCCTACCTAAAATTTTATTTGCACGGAAAACAACAATAATCGCTTTCTGAGATTATGTAGCAAAAGCATGTAAGCGAGGGCACGACATATTCGCCATCCCCTAGTATGGGCGCGTGAACTTCGAAAACAAGCTGTCTCTCAAACGAGCAGGATGTTAAGTCAATCCTCCAAGATTTTCTTGCTATTTTTCAAAAATCAGTACGGATGTGAAACTAAATTTTAGCAGACAAGTTATTAAATTTCTCATACTGCGCATTACACCCTTGCCCACAAACTTTGTTTTAGTCGACAGAAACACCTGCATGCAAGAGCGCAGCAAGGCATCAGCTATAATAAAGAGATATGTATTTATTATATTAGAATTACATATGTGTAATATTAGTCACATTCTAACTGCGAAAATGGCAGCGAAATTTGAAAATAAAGCTAGCAAAGACGTGCTGCAGTGCAAATTTGCGTGAAGGATGTTTTTCATGAGACGCAAACTTTCTATATACCAGCGTAAAGGTATAGCAAAAGCTTGTTATAACAAACTTAGTTAGGTTGTAGAGCTAAAATTTTTTTGACATATCAGGAGCAAATTTATATAGAAAAAGATATTTGCTTAATAGGTTTCGGCTCTCGTAGGTCGCCGCCTAGACATAATTGCCGAAAAGTGTGGCGGTTTCCCAATTTTAAATGTTTTCAAGGGCTTTAAATAAACTTTCCAAATTCTTACTGCGCCCGTGACTATTAATGAGGATCATTGAGGACAATTACGGACAGACTAATCGCGAACGTAGCGTGAAGCGCTCTATTAACCTAAAGGTAGACTCAAAACATGCACCGCTTCGTGTTCGAACTTGCACTGTTGTAACTTTGTGGCGCTCACAAGCACACCGCCGCTCAGACGTACACTTCCGTGAGAGGATGCGTGAAAAGAAGGTACCTAACCGCTACAGCGGGAATAATCGATATCTGAAAAAATAACAATATCCATATATGGACTCACTCATCCATTTTCCCTTCATTCTCGTGCGTACTGTTGCTGGTCCTGCTTTGTCACTTTATAAGACGAGCGTCGAAATCGTCTTCATCGCCTCCGTCCCCTTCGCCTTTTGAACAAAACCAACGCCATCTTACCCGGAAGTTCCGAATGAGCTAAATGCATTCGAAGATGTAGCTCATTGGCACCACTAATGAGGAGATGCACAACTCCAAACTTATTTCATTTGAGAATAAGGTTAGCAAAATTCGCGCTTTATTTGATTCACTTTAGTGTGTGCCGTAATTATAAAGTGCTACATCGCATATTTATCATTCCTATAGTAACCATGAAATTGTCCAAATTTCTTGCTTATTGCTAAGTAAAGCTTGACTGTAATTATCGCAGTTTGTGAGTGGTACACCTGCAGTGAGCAGCTTCGGATGATTGAGCGTGATCGACCCTTGGCGAGCAGTTTGTTACGAAACTACTAACTCTCAGACACTCTGTGTCTTCGAGGAATCAGCGACGAGTACGCGAGCGGTGACCGTAAATAGCGGATACTGACATTTCGCTCGCTGATTCTTCACTGTCCGCTGACTGCTCAATTGAAGCCCTACTAAATGCCCGTTGACGGAATGGCTGTTGCCCGCTCACTGATTTCTCGCAGCCCGCTTATTTAATGGAAGACTGCGCGCTGGATTATTCGGTGGCGCTGACTGAAAAATAGGCACTTTGCTGATTATCTCAACGTCCCCTCACTCGATAAGTGAAGCTCCTCCTGGCTTCACTGCCCTCCACTACACCAATGCGCAACAACATAAACATGCAATTCTTATTGATTCTCATACATCATAGCTGGAATATTCATACATCATAAAGAGAACCTTGTAATGAAATGAGTATCAGATTGATTAATCAAATTTTTGAGGTAGCACAGTGTTCGAGATAAAAGAAGAGTGAAGCAAATGGCTGTAAGGCAGATTTTTCTTGAGGCTGAGACAAATGACCTGTTCATCCACAGAAAAAAAAGAAACAGAAACAAAAGAAGAAAGATGTTTTAATGTGAGTGGATGATACCCGATCTTACCCAAAAAGCAAGTAATCAAACAAAAGAGATTTCCTTAAGGCTAAGTTCACCTGTTAATATACAATATAATACAGAGATGACATAAACAATGTAATATGTGCACATAAGCAAAAACATGTAAAATTTTCAAAAATCTCGATTAACGCCCGCAGAAAAGCTCAAGCTAGCTGTCCGCTAGCAGATAGCGAGTGTCGGCCAATGAATCAACAACTAAAAGATAACTAGCATAAACGTACTCATCGTTTTTAAGTGATTCGCTCCCCGCTACTTAGTGACTCGCATCAGGAAGTGCTTACTGACACCGTAGGAGTGAACCAGAAGACTTTGTTGAAGCTGCAAGAAGTAGTGAAAGCGTTACATCCCCACTCATTGTACGCTACTTTATTCCGTGCCGATACAGGGAATATTGCCAAAAAAATGCCGCCGGCTTCGCACATATTGGCGTTTCCTGAATGTCATGGGTGCGATAGACAAAGGTGCATTTAAATACAAAAGCCAGCAAATTTGGGTCGGCAGTACTAGTCGCAAGGGCTTCATAGCCCTCAATGTGCTGTTGACGCCCGTGGTCAGTTTGTGTATGTGAGCCAAACGTTGGGCAGGTCTTTGAGGGCAAGCTGGAATTAGTTTTTGTGAGAAATTC